TACTTGAATTCCTGAACGACTTCTAGCAGATCACCACCAAGCGTTAGCGCAGGGTTGGGTCCCTGCCAATCTTGGAGAAGTACTTTGCATTTCGATGGAGCAAAGCATAGCCCAAAACGATTGACAGGCAGTACTAATCGGTCCAGTGCTCTTTGGCATGTTTGGGGGCTGTCACAGATTAGGGCAATATCGTCCGCATACTCCAAGTCAAGAAGTCGCTCACCAGGAAGTAGCTCCACACCTTCTAGGTCGTGTCCAGCGAACGTTGTTTCCATGACTTCATCAATAGCGAAGTTAAAGAGGAAAGGTGACAGCGGGCATCCTTGTCTCACACCGCTGGTGATACTGAAGGGTGACGAGAGTTTGCCATAAACCCTCACCCTGCCCGAACTATGCGCGTACAGCGTTTTGATAATGTTTACATATTTATCAGGCACACCTTTCCTCAGCAGACAGTTCCAAAGGGCACATCGATCAACTGAGTCGAAGGCACCTTTAATGTCAAGAAACACGACAACGGTGGGTCGCCAATAAACATGGCGGTGCTCCAACACTTGACGCAACGTGAAGATGTGGTCGATGCAGCCCCGACCTCGACGAAATCCGGCTTGCTTTTCACGAATCTGGCTTTCATGAGTGCCAGTCAGTCTGTGGAGAATGACAGAGGCAAGCAATTTAGAGGCAATCGAAGTCAGACTGATCCCTCTATGATTGCCGCATTCCAAACGGAAGTTTCCCTTGAAAATTGGGACAATGACGGAGCGGTTCCAGTCTGTCGGGACTGTCTCCTGCTCCCAAACTTTTACTATCAACTCGTGTAGATCATCTACTAGAGCAGACCCCCCGAATTTGAAGAGGGCTAGGGGAATTTTATCTGCCCCTGCGGCCTTATGCAATTTCAACAGCCTGATCTCACGTTCGACTTCTGCGCGTGAGGGCGGATCCGAGGAGACGGCCCAAGGAGTAGGGCGTTTAATGCCTGAAAAAGAAAGCGATAACTCAGGTTGGTTAAATTGCCTTGCAAAGTGTTCAGCCCAACGCTCCAAGCGTTTTGACAAGCTGTGGATCGGCTGCCCACTCTCGTCACGTATGGTATCGCTAACACCAGGTCTCCTGCTGCCTGTTTCCCGTATCAGACGGAATAACTTACGATGATTACCCACGGCAGCGGCTGTTTCCATCTCAGAGGCACGATGAGACCACCAGGTTTCGCGGTCCTTCTTAAGGCTAGCACGCAGTTTTGCCCTGAGATTTTTACCAGCCTCATTGTATTCGCTTCCAGCCGGAATACGTCGGCGAGCATCCATAAGTTCCAGAGACTGTGTAGAGACCCAATGTCCGGTTTGGCAATTTGCTTTGCCACATGAACACATGCCTGCTAACAGTAACGTTTGACGAATATGCGACCAGTGATCTTCAACGGTGTTTAGTGGGCGCTTACTCAGCCCAGATGTCAGCGCACTTTGGTACACATTCAGAACATCTGGCTTCACCATCTGGCTGGTGTCAATCCGTTCACATCGACGTTGCGGACGTCCACCGAAACGCACCAGGAGGTCGGCACAGACAAGTGCGTGGTCAGAGTCCACGCTCGTGCTCCAAATCGAGCGACAATTTTGGACACAGCCTCTCCAGCGGTAACTGATCGCGATATGATCAATTTGCGTCCATGGTTGGCCTGAGGCTGATGGCCACCAAGTCACGCTTCTACGGGTGCTGTGTCGAAAGTTATTGCTCGCGAGAAAGAGGCGAGCATCTTCACACAGATGTAGCAATCGCTCACCATTGTCATTACGGGAGCCTACACCATGTTGGCCGCCCAGATGAAGCTCATCAGAGGACAATTTTCCGACTTGGGCGTTTAGATCGCCAGCCAACACCACAGTATCCGTGCTTCTTCTGTAACGAAGTGGCTCGTGAAGTTGCTGATAGAAATCATCTTTTACCGAATCAGTGCTACAGTTTGTAGGGGGCGTAAGCCGCAATGACAAACAGGCACCGTTTGTCCCCGCGCGACACCGTAGCATGAAACGAACCTGCTAATCTAACGGCGCACATCCTACTGTTTACTGGGATCCAATCAATCAGGGAAGCTTCAGCCCGGGGACTCAAAACAATGCCGACGCCAGCTTGACCGGCATTTGAAGCTGCATCATCACCAGACAGGCGAAATGAGAATGTGCCTCTAGTGTCGCATGTGGGGGATCTCAGGGTAAGCACGGAGCTCGAACCTTGCAAGCGGGTTTCTGATAAACAGCAAATATCGATCGATAGGGTCTCTAGTGTGCGGGCAAGGGCTGCCTGTTGGCCAATCTGCAGCAAAGTGCGCACGTTGAGGCATGCCAGTCTTAGCGAGACACGAGGACACCAAAGAGAAACGGATGAACTGACGTTGTCCGCTTGCTTGAGCATGGACTTGTCAACTGGATTGGAGCGAGGCCCTGGGATTGTGTGTGACTTGAAATTAGAAGACAAGAGACTACTGAAGTAAGCTGGGGGAGGGCCAAGAATTGGGGGATTGAAAATGGGGGGATATAAGTAAAGTTGGAGCGGGACGATAAGGATGAAGAAGCGCAAGAAGGGGTATAAGAAGACGGGAAGGCCTGAGCAGTAGCATCCATACCCCTATCCACCCTGCTCGATGCAGCAGATAGGGCGCCGTTGATTATCCTCTGCGACGGCCAGAGCATCAAGAAATTGTTGTAGGAAAGTTTCATTGTATTGCGTGGGCAGAATACTGTCAGGTTGCCCAGGCCTAGACAGGTTATAAATAATGTGTCAGCTGTACGCCGTAACGGCGCTTCGCTGCTGCGCAACCACCGCCAGTCGCGCGCGGGCTGAGTATACCGCGAGGACGCCCACCCCTACGCGGATTCGAACCGGTGACCTTATGGTTGTAAAGCAAGCGTGCAGACCACTCGGCCACCGGCCGACCTTTGAGGCACTGGAAAGGTTTATATGTTTTGCGATCGTAATAGGATACAGCTGCGACCACGGCCAGACGCAGGTGGGTTTTGGCAGGTTTGCACTAATTTGACCAGGGGCTGCCTGCCTTAAGGCGGGCAGTAGCAAACCATTGAACACCAGGAGGTGCCCTCCCACTGTCAGACACAATGCGTGGCCCTCGTGCTTTACCCCAATCGAGCTGTGAGCTTATAACCCGTAGACCTGTTGTCTTACATGACTAGGTTTTACGGGAAGAGGGCCATCGACCAATTCCTAACTTCCGAAGAGGATGGACTAAGATACTGACAGGGCGCCCACACCTGACAGGATGACGACTCGGGTCCTCAGCGAAAGCCTTCGATTAAATGAACACCCGAAAGGCAGCAGGTCTAGCACATGGTTAGTTCATTTACTCATGCAGATTGATGTCCTGGAGGTTAGCAGGGAGGATGGCGTAACCCAACTCCCACTCAGTGGTCGCCACGGGGAGACGTCCAGGACATGAGGCCACTGCACAACTGTAGCAGCATTGGATAGACCATCTGCCAGGATGTAACCACCACCAGCCTCAGAGCGCCATATATATATATATATATACATATATATATATATATATATATATATATATATATATATATATATCCCATGCAGAGGCCGATGTTGAATTCATGACGCTTCTTCACCGTAGCTGGGCTAAAGCAACTTACACTTATACTAGGTCTTTTTAAGCCAGATAAGTTTCATTCCACTTTATTTGCTTTGTTTTGCCTACCTGAATAATCTATTAACTGGCCACGTTGCTTACGCTAATTGTGGTTATTTGGTTAACTTTATTGTTTTTGTAGTATTTTTTGGGTAACTTGTGGACATTTTGTACTTATCGCGGATTCGTTGATAACTACCTTAATTCATATGATAATTTATCGAAGAGTTATGTCGGTGTAGCTGTATTCTTTAATAGACATTTTATTTGATAATGTCATTTTAAGTGATTGGCTGTTGTTTGACATCCCCGGTGTGGCTGCGCTTGATATACATGCTGACAAGTGCCTACCTGTCTATTACCCACTACCTCGTTCATACTGGCTCCAAGAGACAGTTGGTCGTTGCTGGGACGGACGGGGGTGCACGGTCCTTGTGGCCGTGTTAGGCTCGAAGAGTGGTTTCATTCACTCAGTGTGGAGCGGACTACGGTCCAGCCACCGTCTTGTGTGCGCTTGATTCCCAAATACAGTGTGCTTGTGTCTGCCTGTGAAGCAGTGTGGGCCGGTTCCGTTGATGAGACGTGGCTCCCATCCACATGCATCCCAGTCTAATTCCTTCGGGTTTACACTGGATATGGGGTGTGTGGTTGGAGCTGTGGGTGGTGCATCGCAAGCCACCTATGGTCCCTCTGTAGACGTAGGCGTCCTGTGGCTGGCCACAGTGACAGGCAAATCCGAAACCGGATGTCGCCAACCATATATATATATATGGCCTCAGTGACAGGCAAATCCAGAACCGGATGCCACCAAGCATATATATAGAAGGGTTGGAAAAATGGAAGTTGGTGTGAGAACTCCGAAATGGAGGGCGACAAAGATGGCTTATATGTATTCACATGAGAGATGGGATATCGAGTCTGTAATAATAATTGACCCATAAACGAGGTCTGTGCTTCGACGGGAACCTGATTGCAGAGCAGCAAGCTGACAAAATCGGAAACTTGTCCTTCTGAGTCAACCTACACACAATGGGGATCTAGGGAACTATAGAATCTGGCAAGACGGGCCTGCTCAGTATCACTATATGGGTATTAAATTTCATGGATATATGATACGCAATTAAAGGTTTGATGGGGCGACGGGAATGAAACAAGAATAGATGTCATAGAATATTACCACGGGAAACATGTTACGGGAGGAAAACGCTATCAGCCCCCCGAGTGATGGTGAGCATCACGGTTAATACAGTGACAAACGAGTCTCAAAAATGCGTTGGTGCATGAGGCTTCGCACAGCGTTTTGAATACGGCGACACAGCACAGCTGCACGGATATAATAAAGCGAAAGTACAGTCGCATAAATGGCCGAGGAGGTTGTGTTTTGAAGTCTTACCTTAGAAAATGATGGAAAAGTGAGATAGGCCTTTGTACGGAACTGGTCGAACAAAAATGGATGGAAGTCATCTTGACTGTAAAGGAAGAGTGAGATAAAAACAAGTACGCACGAGAAGAGCACTCATAGTTCTGAAATGACACATGTCCTGTGTGTAATGGAAAGGCCGCCAATGTGTGAAACAGATTACATTTATACATTTTACACGTTGGCTAGAGGTGGAGAACACCTCAGCTATTGTGCTGCAATACATAAAATAAGACAAAAAGCAAGCCGCAATACATAACAAAAGAAAAAACTGAAACAGGTTTCAGTATGAACTTTACTCGGACCGTGTAAACGACGAGTATGTGCAATGAATGGAAGTAAAAGCAGTGAAATAATATCTGGGAATAGGCTTAGAACCGGCTGGGAGTTCATGATTTCAAAAAGGTTTTTGTAGGTTTCTATTTTGAAAGAATACATCGCAAAATACCACGTGATACTGCAAATGCGAAATAGAAGTCAGAGCTCTTTAACAAACGAGTTCTGTGGTTTTTATCGTGCAGTTGTTTTCCTAGAGCGCAGAGGTAATTCAATGGACCGTGGGGATATACTACAATGGTAAGATATTCTACATTAACAGCCGGATACAAGCGGTCCCCAAGTATCCGATGTAAAATATGATGAAGTCTTTAGCCCATATGCATGACGCAGAAATTTTCGAAAGTAACCTGCGTTAGAGCAATTGAACTACTGAGTACTGCTAAAAGATCAACTGGCGTTTACTGATCAACCAAAGTGAGACGGAAGAGAGTAGTGTGCTGTGATTGGCTTCCATTAATATTACCAGAATAGCGACCTACAGCAGAATTAGCAACAGTGAGCAAACGTACGACGGACCAGCGAAGGTAGGTTTTGCCCCATATGAAGTCAAAATGTACAAGAGATTAAAGGAGATTTGTAATTTAACAGCATGGTTTGTAACGTGCGATTCAAGACAACGACGTGTCGTAAACGGGGTCATCATGACTTGTATCGCATCGATGGAAATAATGAACAAAGTGGCAGCAAAAACAAGTACAAAAACAGAGCAGAAAAGCTGATTCGAACACAGCCTGGGAGCAGCAAAAGTATGAAACTAAAGGATCAGAAGATAGAACTATGAAAATATATACAACAGTGCGTCTGACTGATCGACGTCACTGCATTACATAACGTTGTTAAACGCCCACTTGGTCGATTATTTGAACCCAAACTATAAGAGCAAAAGGTATCAGCACGATCATGACATGAGGACAGCATTTTCACGCTCCCATAGCACGAAAAATCAGTGCCTTCAAGTCTGGAGTGTGCAGGTGCATTTCCTGAAAACAACAAAAGCTGTCGTAGGTGAGCATGCAGAGGTGACGCAATTAGCGTAAGAAGTACTGGTTCAACAAGCGATCCAGTGAATTGCCTAAGCTTCTGCTGCCGGATACGAATTTGGGAACGGCAGAATTGCTTATGTAACGGTAATAAGTGAAAGTAACGAGCGAGAAGATAAATCCGTGTTGCTCCATCGTAGGTGGATCGGACACATGCGCGGAATCACCTCGCTGATTTCTGCGCGGTGGCGGCATATTGCAGCTGCACTACATCTTATCCGGGTGTGATACGCTTCCTATACCCGGTCCGCAAAGTGGGCGCCAAGGAACCTCTTAAATTCCGACATCGATTTCGCCTCGACCAACGTTTCCGGCAACTTGTTCCAACATTTAACCACTCGACGAATAGAGGATGAGCGATGCGTTTTAAATCCGGTACCACTAGTTTGTACCGGTCCGCGTGTGCTGCTTGGTGTGCGAACATGCAGCAGCGGCCTCAACATAGGGAAGTGGCCAAGGTGCAGTATCCGGTGTGGCATAATGAAATCAACTTGAAGCCGACGATATAACAGGATATAAAGTCCTGCACTCCTACATCAGTCCTCGCACGACATACCCCGTAAACTGGGGATGAACCGGGTAGCTACATGTTGAACCCGTTCCAGCTCTGCACCTCAATTGTTGTGATCGGACAATAGGCAGGTGGGCCGTACTCAAGTATCGGTCTTATCATGGAAGAGAACAGACGAGTGGCAACCTCCTCAGACCAAGTGCAGAAGCTGCGCCTAAGTGCCCAAAGTACGCGTAGTCCGTTTGCGTACAGTCTGTTCGTGCTGTCGACAGACTTCACATCACAGCGTGAGAGTACGCCTAGATCCTTAACGGAACTGGTGGGACGCAACAGGCGGCCGGCAAGGGTGTACGCACGCCCATTACCACACCTCCAATAGCTTTTAAACGAGGACTTGGCCGGGTTGACCGGTAGGTCAATTTCTGCAGACCACCGGGATAGGCGGTCGAGGTCCTGTAGAAGGACGTCACAATCGCTGGGAGAATCGATAATCCTCCAAATCTTCAGATCGTCTGCAAATAATGCGCACGGCGATCGAGGAACTTGAGATACTTCGTTGATGTAGACCAGGAACGAAATGCGCCCCAGTCCTGTGCCTTGGAGTACGCCGCTAGTGGACGGGTATCATTCCGTTAGGTGGTCATCTAACTGCACCCACCATCTTAACCCAATAAGGAAGTCACTGATCCACTGGTGCAGTGCGGCGCCAACACCCCACATCCTCAGTTTGTGGAGCAGAACCTCATGGTTCACTTTATCAAAAGCTTTACTGAAATCAATGTAGATAACATCCACTGACTTCCCCCCAGTTCAATACTTGCAACCATTTCTGCCGCGTCAATAGCAGGTGTGTGATGCACGAGCAGCCGTTCATGAAGTCGTGCTGTGCTAGCGTTAGGAGATCCTCCGACTCCAGCAGTTGGAGAAAACCCTTTATCACAATCTTCTTGAGCATCCTCGCCAAAATAGAGGTGAGACACATCGGCCGGTAATTGTCCACATTGCATGGATCACCGCTTTTTGGAATCGGCTTCAACACAGAGCATTTCCAATCGCTCGGCAATAAACCTTCGGACAGCGATTAGTTAAAGAGATCCATCATGGCAGGCGAGATGATGACCGATGAGGAGTTTAAAATTAGCTGGTGAAGTCCATCGGGTCCGGCAGGTTTCATGCCGTCAAGACTGGTAAGTAGACTGCGGACACCTTCTATACCGCAATCCAGTTCCGTAGGAGCTTCACACGTCAAGTTCGGCATACGCGCTTGCTGGAGGTCAGAGGCTGTCCGTCAGTGCCCTCTAACACAGCTAGGTCACTTGCGGGCCTCAGGTGCTGCTTCATGTAAGCAAAAACATGTTTGGGGGTCGTCTTCTCTGAGGTTGCAAGCTCCTCTTCGAACTGCCGGCGCTTTCGTGCTTGTGCGTTGTTGCATAGATTCCGCTGCCTTTTGTACGCCCCATAATCGTCCAAAGAGCCAGATACGAGGAATTTATTCCACAATACGCGTCGCCGTCGAGCCAATTGAGCATACTTTCTGTCGAAGCAATGTGGTTTCACTGGTCTAGGTTTCTGATACTTGAGAGGTAGGCAACGAGCGCACAACGATTGCACACCCTCTTTTATTACAGACCAACAAGCTTCAACAGATGAATGCTGCGGAAGCAACCAGTTCATTTCACTGGCGGCTCGACTGAGACCATCGAAGTCGGTCTTCCAGTAATTGTACGACGGCTCCGGCGGACGCGAGTAGGGCAGCAGCAGCTATAGGCTGGCTAACGCCATCGAGTGGTGGCTAGCTGCCAGAGGCTCAAGAACATGAATTTAATGTACACGTTGCTCGCAAATGGTTAGTAATAGGTCCAGGCACGATGAAGCGGAATGCGGTGTAACGCGCGTCAATTATCGGACATGTTTGCAGCCCGGTTTCAAATAGCATCTCTGCAAATTGCGCCTCGACTTCAGTGCCCGGGGAGAAGCTGAACCTCCGGCCACCGTATTCGAGGGAAATTAAGATCACGCATTAGCAGGAAACGGGGCCGACTCATGTAGATTCTGACATGTGGCAACCAATTCAGGCATCGACTTCGCGGTCTTCGATAAGACGCACTCACAAGCAGTTCACCTTGTCTCAGGCTGAGCGAGCACCATTACTGTTCACACAACCATCTTCGCTACGGTATGTGTGTATCAGTCACCTGCACAGTGAGGACCAGGTATATAACGACAAGCCGCCTCGATTTGTTTGATAGTCTGTCACACCGGAAACAGGTAGCCACTGATCTGGACTTCCTTGGTGGTGACCTCAGGATTTAACCAGGTTTCGGCCAGTCCTAGTACCTCCAGACGACGAGGCGACGAAGTAATATACGTCGTCACGTTTGTTCAAAACTACAAACATTTGTGAAGGCTACACGCAGGCCGCGGTAGGAACTGACGGACGCATACGAAGCGTCATCGACCTGTTGATCCGAGTTCGGCGGACCCGGGGAACTACCCGAAAATTTACAATGTGGAGATTGGTTTCTCTACTATCAGCCCACCGGACTTCAGTTTCTCTCTGTTCGACGGATCCAAATCGGGACAAATATGGATCTTTAGACCTTTTAGCCTACGCAGGCGGGATAGTAGCAGCCTCGGACTCGTTTCATCAACAGACGTGACTCGAAGAGGCCGGGACTTCCCCTCCTCCCTCTTTCCAAGACGAGTGATTTGCTTCACCCGCAACTCCTGTTCATTCACGTCGAGAAGCCTATCAATTAGGCTCAGCAGAAATTCTACGTCGTGGCCATAACGAGCATGAAGACTAACATCCGTTGGCTCAGGCGCGTGAAATATCATAGGTTACAACGCCGCTGATTGCTAGCAGTTGTCCTCTCCTTTTAGCTTCCCTGCATTCTCCATTGGCCTTTATCGCCTGTGCTACCGCACAGCGGTATGTTAGTGTCCGTAGGGCGCAACACAGTCACGACAGCTGAGGCTCCAGCAACGGGTGGACATCGCTCTGGAGAGCCTGCAGCCGGTGGGCTCGTTCGAACATAGGGGTGGCTGGGTTACCGCTTGTTTGGATGAACCCATGGAGCTCTTCCCCATGGAACATTTCACCTGCCTTGTAGGATCGCGCGGTTTCTCAGCTGTTAGTGGCTACACAGTGGCCTGACATTTCTTGTACAATATTCGGACAAAATAATGCTGAATTTTGCGCAGTAGTTTAAAAAGACAAACCAATACATGAAATGTAGAAATTCACATGACGCATTAAGCAGGTAACAGCATTTGCTCTATGCCCAACAATTTTGGGATACTTTCAAGCACAGGTGATCGAAGGCAAGCAATATTATAATGCCTGCAACACTTAAAGCATGTCAATAAATCGCATCGTGGCATTGCCCCTGAGTTATCGTTATTCCAGAGAGCAGATTAGAACTGGGAAAATGCGTGAACGGTCTCAAGATTTGCAGAAGCTACTTCGGTGAATGGATTAGCACCGGTGATACCAAAAGAGATGGGAGAAAGAAGGAAAATGGAGCAAATCTTCCATGGCCAAGCAACTTAGGTACTTTAAATGACAGTACCTTAAGCTTTGAAACTATGACATGCGGGCCAAAAACTGACAACGTTCTGCACCAAGCCAAAGTGGTAATAAGCCGGGTCAGACAGAGACATAGTTGAAGTATTCGTACATCTTAAAGCCGTCAGCATGTCAAGCAACAAAGGTGTAGAGTGGATAACGTAACTGGACTGGAACGACGCATGGTGAGAGATAAAAGTTAAAGAAACAAGATGGATATGACAAACTAATGCACCGAAGACGACTCCAACTAGAATTTTGCAACTTTCTTCCTCTATGTTCACGAATAAGTCTGAATGTATATTAGATGCAAAGGTCGAGTTAGTTGTTTTGGTAGAAATCAATTAGCGCTCCACCACAACAAATTAGTACAACCATTCGAATGAAAGTGCTACCAAAACAAAGTCAACCCCCAAATATGCAGCCGAGGGTTAATTCATGCAACGGCTTTAGGGATCAAAACCAACCGCTGTCCACGTCAGATAGTATATAAAGACCGGTAAGCTCGGGTAATCAACCGAACGACGTACGCAAATACGCTAAATTAGTCGAAAGCAGATAAGATTACTTAAAGTCATTAGATATAGAGCAAACACGTCTGCCTTGAGTGCGAATGAATGTAAACGATAGATTGCTAGATACGTAGAGTCATTTGTCGCCGAAATGCGTAATAACCTCATGCAAACACGGTTGGCACTGAAGGAGGAATGGAATGCAAGCTAAAGATTATTGCCCAGGATAAGAAATAGCAAATGCGAAGAGGGGTTGCAAAGAAGAGATGCTTAACGTCATGAGATCCCGAAGATGACAAGGTCGAAATCACTCCAGTTCGATGTTAGATAAGATACCAAATGTTGAACATATTTTACTGTGCACCCAAAGCCAGTCAAATTTGCATCAACACGTATACATCGAAAGTATTAAGATCGATGGAAGCGAACGTTGCCAAGCAGTGTATGTTGCAAGATCACACGAGAAGAGAGGAATCGGTTTTAGTAGAGTTCACTTACGGTGGGGAGTTCGGATAGGATAATAATTCGACTTGTTCGGAAGTGCGTGAGCACAATATCTTAAAGTGTCCGCAAACATCAGCGATAAGTTGTTTGGGGACAAAGAGCCAAGTAGAACGGCATAATCGACCAAGCGTACGCAAGGCAGAGAAAAATCGTTGGTGCCAGCCTGAGAGATGTACAGGAATTTGTTTGACGAAATGCCTGTACAATGCCCACATCTGTGACGGCTCCCAGACGTGCCAAGCTGCACTGGACAGATTAGCGTTGGCTGTCAGCCAGTTCGGGCTTTGCTTTGCACCCTCAAAGTGCAAAGCGTTCTTCCAAGATTGGCAGGGATCGCCTCCTACGCTGACCCTTGGTGGGGATAAGCTAGAAGTCGTTCAGAAATTCAACTGCCTGAGAAGTTATATCAGTGCCCTTGGGATCAAAGACAGGATCCCGAACCGCATAGCAAAAGCTCGAAGTGCTTTTGCTAGTCTTTGTCACCTATGGCGGTGGCGCGACATCACTCTCGCCCTGAAGAGTAGAGTATACAATGCAGCGGTACGTTCGACCTTACTGTACGGTTGTGAAACCTGGACCCTTTGATCAGTCGACATAAAGAGGCTAGTTAGGTTCGATCATCGGTGTCTTCGCAGTTTAGCTCACATCTGGTGAGAACACCGCATGAGCAACGAGCGTGTTCGACGCTTTGTTTATGGCACAGGAAAAGGAAATGAACCGCTCAGCATCGTCATTTCACGCGCCAGGCTCCGATGGCTCGGCCACGTGTTACGCATGCCAGCCCACCGACTCCCGCGACGGGCGTTGTTTGCTTGCCGGGGTGTGGATGGAAGAAGAGGAGGGGTGGCCAAGCGATGACTTGGTCGAGAGGAATGAAGGCCCTCACTTCGGAGATGGCCTCGGTCGGGGCTTCACGGCTCCCTGGTTGGGGTCCAAAAGACGATGAACACATTTGGCTAGATACACTTGTCTAGGAGCGTGTGTTCCTGTTCCTGTTGTGAGTTTCTTTGTCCCTCCCCATCCCTTTTAGCCTCCCCTCCAACCACGATCTCAGTTCGTAGCATAATAAAGTATTACATCACAATTTTTCTTGTTGCCTAATAGCCGGCTGCTAGCTTTCCGGAACGAGGCCCGTCCGTTGCTGGTAGCTCAGCTGGCATGCAACTGTTGTTTCTTTTTTCTTTTATGTATTGCGGCACAGCAGCTGAGGTGTTTTTACACCTCTAGCTAACGTGTGTAATGATGATGATGAGAGATGTGTAGAGTTGCCAGTCTACCTAATGAAAGTAGTGGTAGATGCGATCCATGAACACACTCCGTCGGTGAGAACCAGTTTGCGCTGTTTTGGCTCAGCCACTCTGAGTCAAGATAGAACGAGTACCATGGCAAATAGGTGCCCAAAAACTGATGGCACCCGATGCTCCTCATCGGCTTGCAAAGAATAAGCGAGAGAGAACTGAAAATGCAGCATGGTTTTCGAACGCGTCAAATATGAGACCACCAGACAAACAACCAAGGAATGCGCCAGACTCTTCACGTGACAGGGCCTCTATGTTTGGTGAGACAGCTGGGACGGATAGGTCAAGGTTGGGGTACGGTGTATTAAATAAAAGTTACGCGGCTAAACGTTTGATTGAAAAAAAGCTTGGAAAGTGCTGCAGTAAACAGAGCAAGCCGCTTTATTTATATAGAAGTATAACTGCTTGCTTAGCGCAACAACCACCTTGCACGCAACCAATTGCATGAGAGCAAGTAGCTAGGCAGATAATAAAACAGCAGAGTTGGATTCAGTCACCAGAACGTTGATCTGCTGCTCAGTAGCTTAGAAGCATAAAATAAATTGAAATGAGTTCAGAGAATCAGGCATCTAGAAGATAATTATGCAGATTCAAAAAGATCCGCTTACCACACTGGGTTAAGCATCAGAGCAAGCACGCCAATGCCATCAGAAATACCCTTGCAAACTAGATACGACAATGTGTGGAAATACAAACCGCTATGATTAACTGGGATCTGAGGCGAGATCACATTTCACTTGGGTTGGTCAACAATGACTCGTGTGTTAACGTAGATAGAATTCAGTTCCATTGACTCACATCATATAAGAGGGATAAGGCAAAGCACTGTTTCCAATGACATTGTGAACCATAAATCCAAACACAGAACGACTATTCCAAAGCAAAACATTGACCAGGGAAATAACTCAAACCAGCAGGCCTTGAAACGTGGCATAAATGAGCAGAATTAACGGCAAACGAACTGAATGCGGGAGCTTTATACCTCATCTTAGTAACCCGGAGACAACACAGGAGCACACACTAATTAACAAAAACTTTAACCAAGCATAGTAGTTGAAAAATGAACGCATCTAGGCTTATATGTGAGCCTGTACCAACCACGCGCTCGTCGGCACAAAGTCCAGGGCTGAATTGTGGAGAGGTATGGAAAAGCACAAGATTTAAAGCACAAATAAAGAAATGTAAGAATGAAGTTCGGAAACAGACTCATTTAGAATTTTGCGTGTGGATACAAACATGAAGTACGATGGCTCCACGACAGGAAAATTAAATGTAATACTTCTCGTGATGCCTAACAAATCAGGTCTACAAAAAGGTGACGATATATGAAAAAGCCGCACAAGCGAAGAGTAGGGGCTAGAATGTGTGAAGGCCACAAAAGGTGGTAGAGTACAGATGGCAAAACGTGCGAAACAGAAAACAAGCATTGAGCGAAGCGATGATAAAGGAAACAATCGTGAACCGTACATACGTGAGTAGCTCCTCATCCTGAGATTGGTGTTTTTTCCCAAAGACGTAGCCATATGCGGGGGACGCGGTGTCATGCCCATCCATATGGTATGCAAACAGGAGTAAATTTCTTAAGGCTGCAGAAAAACTGTCAGCAAACAACTGTTCCAACGCTTGATTGGGTTCATCGTGATCCGCAGAACTTTGGTTCATTGCTTTGGTAGAGGAAACGGAGGACTGGACTGCTTGGTGTGCTAATCGGCAACAATGATCGATGGAAGCCTGGCCAAAGTCTGGTAAAGACAAAAGTAGATGATGACGGTAGATTGACGAATAGGGGAAAGAATACTAATAGAATAAGAATGACGAATGTAGGTTTATCACCAAAAGCCTGAAGTTAAAAAAAAACTATTTTATGCGGGGCATGAGTGATAGGATACATTTTGTGGTGGTTGCCGTAAACAACTGCAAATGTAATAGTGTTAAACAGAGAAGCCAAAGCAGTCACTAATGAATCACGATCACATTACATCAAGGGCTGTGAAAAATCATATGAGCCAGGCGTGTTGCTGAGTTCCGGCAATGACAGTTTGTGTCGGATCATGCCGGTGTTGGGACTTGCAGCGCCAAAGTCCCAGGTGGACTGCGGTGACCCAACAAGCAATTTTGATACATCGCGAATGCTAAACGACTCTTCAAAGTGTTCCATTCAGCGTGATTGATAGTGAATCGGCTGTTCATCTTATTCAACCACTGGTTCACTCACAGGAACCTGTGCATCGAATAAGCCGGGACAGTACTCGCGTGGTTCTGATGGTGCTGGCCTCCTCTATCTCACATACTCTCACCATCCACCAGCGCTAAACGATATTCCAGTGTTCCGGGTGCTTTGAAACTGACATCCAGGCATAAGGTGTGGTAATTAGAGAACATGGTCAAAGAAAACTATGTACCAGATGAATGGATTTCTGTTAGATGACCATGGCTGGCAGGTAACCGCCGCCCAACTTTTAGCATGAATTCGCCAGATTCACCACATCCGCTGTTGTATCATAATACAACTCACTTAGATGGTCGTAAAGGTTCGCCAAAGTAAATTCGCGACTCCAGTCGAAATAAAGCAGGGAATAACGAAAAACGGTTGCATAAATGCTTCGTGAACTTAGGTAGAGGAGAGAAAAAACGCGATATTCTCTAAGAATGCAAGATATACCTCAATGAAGGCTGGAATGCTCACTCCATCGGCTCGGGTTCAATGCCAACTTTCCGTGGCTAGTGACAGTGACCCTCCCATGTCATAGTTGGTCTGCGGGCCGACATCGTCGGATGCGGCCAACCCAATGACGGTTACGCCGCTACGGAAGAGGGCTATATACTATAGAAACCTGTTATTACCTCAGGTTAGTTGCAAATGCTAGGTCTAAAAATGGAAACAGCGCAGAACGATCACTTAGTCTATAAGTAAAATATATGATTAAAGGGGAAAATAGATGTTAACATTCTATTCAGTGAAGAAATTTTTTTTCAACAATTCTCACCAGGCTAATACATATAAAAACGGGGTAAAACAATGCAACAGGCAAAGAAACCTAGGTCATGGTTAGTCGAAGAGAAATGTCTTTGCTGAATCGAAAGCTTACATCCCTATGGGCATATTCCACGAGGAAAAACTGGAGTCAAGCCAGAAGGTAGAGACTGTACACTTACTGAATTCCGAGGCCAATAATTTGTGGACGGAGCGTTGAGCTTGACTAGAATTCGATAAAATCGAAGACCCTTTGAAGTCGCTCAGAATAGTAAGTATATATTTTCTGATGTTTTCCAGGGACTTTATATCGTGAATTCCCTGGAGACATTGCGGTAACTGACGCACCGTTTCAATGGGATATTTTTCGTGTGCAACATATCGTACATCCTGGTTAGTATCAGTTCGTGGTCGAAGCAGATGTAGTATCACATATGTGTGGTCAGTGAAGATCATGTTTCCCTGAAGGAACATTAACAGGAATGATCAGATACAGAAAACCAATTAATCATATAGAAACGAAAATGGAGAACGAAATGGATTAGAGAAGATGCAATGGGGTGTGAATTACCACTGTAAACAGGACAGGTTGTAAAATGAATTCGGATTTTCGACGTGCTTAGATTATGCAATTCCCATAGAATTTGGGTGATGCAAAACTGAAATCCAAAACATTACGATATGTTAACGTACAGCGGTCTACTACGGTACACAGGATAAAGTTTCCAGCCAAGTAGGATTCTAGAGAATTCCGAGGGGAGCAACACAGCAAGAAATTGAAGTGGAGTTACTTGATCGTCTTTTAAAAGTGAGAAGCGACAATCCCAAAAGAACGCACTTATCGGCGTCTGGTAAATAGTGAGAAGACACTTCTCCCTACGCTGAAAAATGAAACAGCCTATCGCGGGATTAGGTCCGGAGTGAGTAAACTTATCCCCATGTTCGTCGGGGTGGTGATCGGGGATACAACATGAGATATGAAAAATATTTGGTGTTTGCGACAGCCACTGATGCTACTCTTCTTCTTTCCCTAGTTGTATCAGAGAACGTGGTGGGGTGTCAGGTTCCAAGCCGGCGTACATTCTGTTCAAATGTTACATAGGCCCCATGAAGATACGGCTAATAGGCGAAGCCAACCCGCTTTAAGGTTGCTTAACTATTCCATATGACCCGACCCTATTTCTTTACACCTTATGGGTTATGTAAAGCTCCAGCTCCAGCTCCATGAAATACAATGTTCCAAAGATTCCGTTCAAGTGATCTTGCATTGTGGAGTCAAAGTGGAGCTGTTTAACGTGTAAATCGACAAGCAATGCGAGAAGCTCGGTGTGCAAAGTGGAATTCAATATGGCCTACAAGTGTGCGTACACCACAGCGGTACAAAGAACAGAAGGACTCGTGACAAAAGTCAACAGAGTTTGAGACAAAGGTAAGGGAACCAACCTTATCGTACAGCTCCACGATAAGATGAAATGCGTTCACATCCACTCCAACGGTGATGTCGATAATTCGATCTGCGCCAAGTTGAACAACATTGGTTACTTTTCTGTTTTTAATATGTTTCCTTAACTAGTTGAACTATGGCTTATTTTACGACAGTTGTTACCTTCATTGAGAAACCGGAGGGCATCGTATTTTTGGCCCAATCAAACTCTGTAAAGTGAAGTCGAGCACCAGATTCCAACAAGAGAACAAATTTATCTTCGCCCCTATCGAAATGATTTCACAAAAATAAGCTGAAAATACTTGGTCAATTTCAGGAGATAAGTTTTGTTGTTAATATCGTAAACGTTATTCACCCTGGATCCAATTGCACTAGGAAGAATTCACGTGAAATGACCACAACTCACCGTTTAGCGACTTCTCCTACCATGTAGGTGGTGTCCAGGGTAGAAAATACCAGCTTCATGACTCGAACAAAAGCAGAGCAGAGATGACGGGCAGATCAGTTTCCAGACAAGTTTATTGCCAGAAAAGCAAGGCGAAAACGCGCAGACAGACAAGTTTGGCGGATACAGTGAATACTCTAAGAGTGTAAGCTTTGGCTCTAACTGACTACCTGCAGAAAGAAAACATATTTAGCGTTCACAAAGAGATCAGTAGATCAAACTCAAACAGAAGAGGAGGATCATTTGACAATAAGCATCAAGTCAACGACACAAAGATGATGAAGATCAAGGAAGTCTGGATGGGGTGCAACCAGCGGGTTTAAGTAAAGGTAAGACGTAAACGAAAAACCAGTGCTCCAGAACCCGACAGTGAAATGTTAAACTCAGTGACAGTCGTTGATCGCAAAGCACAGTGGCCTGGCGATAAAGGCGTCCGTCGGTAACCACGATATCCAGAGACCGGTTTAGGTTTGCTTTCATTGAAAAGTTACAGATTGGTGAGCGATCTTAAAAAGTATTAAAGACCATGAAAGTTCCTAGTGGCATACGGTGACTGATGCTTGCTAAATAGCCACAGTTAATCGCTAGCGGGTACATTATGTCAAGCTCAAGTAGGAGAAATGCCTTACGAAGCGTATAGTCCACAGTTAGAGAAAACATCACTTTATCATGGCGGAATGTAACACTGCAGAAGCTTTTAAAAGAAGCTTGGACAGAAATAAGCTACATCAGTTTCCGGAATAACTTTAAGATCAGTAGGTGCTGTAACTGGCGGCCCACGGTTCAGAAGTAATATCTAGTTAATCCTAATGTACTTTCTAGAGACTGTGTTGATTTACCTTTCCCCGTTTTCATAAGAACAATCACTCGGATGTCGAAGCCCTGCTTGCTTATTGGTCACGATAAGCTCGGCCTTTCCGTTGCATGTGAGAGGCCCGACATAATGGAATTTGCAGACGTGAATGAATTTTAAGTTGATGGCCTATGAAATCGAGCACAGTGATTACTCGTGCTTCCGCTGCGATAGACTATCAACTACCCTTGTTGGTTTTCGTTGTGTATACATTAAACCTTTGACCAACAGTACAATTGGTAGAGTGGGAGACTCGTGAGAGCCCACTGAAGCGACGATGGTTTAGGTGAGCAGTTGTGGTGCTCGATCTACGTCAGGCGCGGAGAGCTGCTTGCGGGTGCGGTTTACTGCAATCTTCTGATTCACTATCTGGATTGACTGCTGCATCTTCGAAGTCACATGAGTCGTTCAAATTTTTTACTCATGGATGACCCTAATAGTGTTCGAATACACTGGCCTGAAATTTAACTTATGCTCGGATATTGTGAGGTTGAAGTTAAGTTCGTGTGTTTGGTACTTGAAACTGGAACAGCGCAAGACAGGTGCAAGCCGACACGCAATACGACGCGCTTAACTCCGTCTTGGCTGAATTCTATGTTAACAATCTAGGACCAACAACTGCATGACTCGGTTCATGAAACCCCTAATAACAAGCCACCACTCAGTGTTTATGGCCAGTGTGGAGCTGCCCTTCATCGCGACAAGAATGGAAGTTACCGTGGTACAATAATTTGCGTACTCAATCAATCAACAACAGCAGTACATCAGCCACTTGAACTGTCGCTTCGCTACCATACAACCATGATGACCTAAGAAATAAAGAAAAATAAGTGGGAGAGAAGGGGGACTTACCTGAAAACCGTAATGTCCTGAGCACACATTTATGGTCAAGGCCCCCAGACTTTGTGTTAACAACATACCGTCACAAACAGCTGGCTATCGTGCAAAGATAAGGCGGCATCAGCAAGACAGCTGCCTTGCGGCTTTCATTGCTCCGCGTCATAATCAGCCATTACCCCGCAGATAACTCAGCACCAAACACACCTTAAACAGGCAATCCGATTAGGAGACGGCAGCAGACGCGCCACTGGTGTCAGTAGCGAGCTATGTCCTGTAAAGTCTCGAGCAAAGCACAAGGCGAGTCAGGTGGACTCCAGCGCGTGAGACGAGACGAACCAACGGCACGCAGTTTGGTCAGTTCAGTTCAGTTCAGTTCAGATGGGACTGGAACGATAGGAGAATCCCTTGAGTGTTCCATCTTGAGTGGATCATTGAGCCAGGAATTGACGAAGCGCTCAGTTATTGATGGATCTAAAACGGAACACCGTATCGCACCCTGGCCAACCAGCTAATGCCCACGTTTCCTGTCCTAGCAGTCCCTGCTGTGGCAGTCACATGAAGTAAGCAAAGGATAGGAAGAGAAATCGAGGGTACAGAATAAGGAAGTGCACTTAAATAAGAAAATAGTACCAAGGCGTGAAGAAAAGTAGAGAAAAGAAAACCGAGGTAAGAAGATGCGAATTAGTCAGGAAAAGGGAAAGGTTTCGTGTTGCCACCCAAGAGCGTCAAGTTGCCGCTCAAACCACTTAACCGTAGATTCCCTGTTAACACTTTCCGGAAGCATGTTCCAGCGGTCGATAACTCGGCGTGACAGCCGGATTTCCGCCCTAATCCGATCGGACCGCAGTTTGTCCAGCTTCAAGGAATGACCGCGTAGAACAGACAATCTAGCGGGACTAAATAGCCAAGATAAAGCTGGACCAACCTTCCCAGTTAAGATACGGTAGGTTAGGACTAGGTCTCCTCTAAGCCTTCGGTATTGCATTGAATGCATTCCCAAACTAAGTAGACGCTCGGGGTATGTCCGTTCCCGTAATCCCTCGACTAACCTAGTACCCACTCGTAAAACCCTCTCTAGCTCCATTTTGTCCTGGACGAGGCAGGGCGGACAAGCCTGGACGCAGTATTCCAGATGAGGCCGAACGAAAGCCGAGAACAGCCTCGTAAAGATGCCGCCCGTCAAGACTCGGAAGGAACGTCGTATTAACCACAACTTGCGGAAACCTCTGCTTGCGGCCTTCTTCCAGTTGTCGCCGGAGTGTAAAGCCGAAGAGTGTACGACTCCTAGGTCAATCTCGCTAGATAACGGGGGAGTTCGATCCCACCGACCACGTACTTCGTAGGAGGACAACCTCCTCCAATTCGAAGAACGGAGCACTTTGCTTGATTTATGGGCAGTAACCATAAAGTAGACCAGTCCCAAAGCTTATCCATTGCTCGCTGAATCGACCCAGAACCCCCAGGAACATCGACAATGTTCCACAGCTTTAGGACATCAGCAAATAGCAGCGATGGTACCTCAAGCTCCGCGGGTAGGTCATTCACATAGCTAGAGAACAGCAGCGGTCCAAGGACCGAGCCCTGCAGCACGCCACTGAGGACAGACTGCCTAAACGATAGGCCCCGGACTACCCGTACACACTGTTCTCTACCCTCCAAGAAGGCAGTAACCCAATGAAGGGCGCCGTCAGATACCCCGTAGGAGGACAGCTTTTGCGTGAGCCTCAAATGAGGTACCTTGTCAAATGCCTTCGAAAAGCACGTCCAGCGCGTGGCCGTTATCCACTGCATCCGCCCAATTTTCGCGAGCCACCAGTAGATTCGTCAGACACGAAAATCCTTCCGGAATCCGTGTTGCACATTGCTAAATAGATTAAGTCTACTCAGATGACTCTCCAATGAATATCTCACCAGTTTCTCGAAGAGTTTGACTACTACGTTCGTCAGTCTAACTGGCCTGTAATTTGCAGGCAGACCCCTGTCCCCATTTTTGAAGATGAGACAGATGACAGCTTAATTCCATTCGGAAGACAATGCACAGCTGTCAAGTGATTTCTGAAACACAATAGCGAGCGGCCCACTTAGTTCCGTAGCCAACTCATGCAACAGTTACGGGTGAATTAAATCAGGTCCAGGTTCAGCCCTTGTAACAGCCTATGAACTTCCGTCTCCGCTACAATAAATTCAGATAGTTCTGAACCCTCTAGGGTCCTGCAAACCAGCTCAACGTCTGTAAAAGAAGTTTCCCTTACAAACGCTGTCGTATATTGCCCACTAAGTACGCAGGCCTTGTCATAGTCCGTATGCGCATGAGTACCGTCATCACGCAGCAATACTGGAATTGATATGTTCGAACCGCAGCGCCTTTTGACATAAGCGAAGAATCTTTTTGGATTCTCTGAAGCTTCGTCTGCTAATCCTTCCTCGAAATTGAGCCAAGCAGCCAATAGCTGTTGTTTACACCTATTTCTAGCCTTACGGTACATGTCATAAGTATCGGTGGACGGAGCATCTCGGTAAGTCCGCCAGCATCTAGAACTCATTGTGAGCTGATGCCTGCCAGTAGGATACATCCAGGGGGCTGAGCTCGTGCCTCCACTCTCCTGGAATGAAGGGAGCAGAGACCTCTGTAAAGTGGGACTTAAATTTATCCCAGGCAACCTCGACAGTATCGTCGTCTTAGATCGCACAATGTAAACCTGAAGCCTTGGCTCTCATGGATTGATAGTCTGCGTGCATATGTTTGGGCGAGACTAAACAGTACTCTGGTAGCGCCTAGACAGATTACAACAGGTGAGCAAACAAACATGATCACTGGAACCCAGTGGAGGTCCGTAAGTAATATCACCAACAAAATCGAGTGAGTTAGCAAATACAAGGTCTAAGATAAACGGTACTTGGGCGTCCATGTACCTAGTGTGGAGGTCAAGGAACTGGTGCAAAGATACTTGGAGCGTAAGCTCAAGCAGATCAGCGCCGAATGTGCCTGACGCTGAGTCACAAGAAAGATCTGCCCAGCAAATCTCTGGGAGGTTGAAGTCGCCCATCACCAAACACTTATTTGCGGACTGGAAGTGAATGAATTCAAGTACCTCTTTGTATACGCTCCCGGGGCTTTTATAGACAATTACAACTGTAACCGGAGCCGAAGATGCGCTAATAACAGCCGACAGAGCTTCAACAGTTTTGTCTGTTGACTGAAATAAGCAAGTCTTCAAAACGTCAAGTGTACAGCTCACATAAAGAGCGACGACCCCTCCCTGTCGGCCAGCGGAGTGATCGCATCTAAATAGTGCGTAGCCAGGTAGATGTACTTCACCATCCGTG